AGCCACACAGACCAAGACAAAGCAAGACCTTCCCAGCATCCCTAGCCTGATGTTTCTCTGGCTCTCAGAATGACTGAGATCCTGGTAGGCTACAATTTATGCGATACATTTTATTTTTTTAAATCGTGGTTAAAAACTTTTTTTTTTAATATGAGCAAACGGAAAACCATTCGCCATCTCTACCTTGTGTCCGTGAGCTATCTGAGACCTTAACGATCCCCACCGGGTTCTGCCACCACATTCCCCAGCTTTTACAAGCCTGCTGCTCCCCAGGAGGAGGAGGAGAAGGAAGGGGGATGAGCAGATGCAGGGACGGGGAACGATCAGGAGAAACAGGTCACCGGGCCACACACACATCAGGATCGTGTCCCATCGTTACCCCCGCGGTGCTGCAGTCTGCCATCTGAAGCAGGGCATGGCTCAGGGACAGGGCAGTTTGGGGGATCACTGGAGGCTAACTGCTGACTGTCTTGCTCAGTCCCTGGTGGACACTGCCAAGTCTCACCAGCATTTCTTCAACACATGGACCCAGTGTGGCCTTTGGATGCAGGGCTCTGTGGTTAGCAAGCCCTCCTTTCCCCACTGAGGCCCCCGTAGCCACAACGTAGGCTTGGGGCTGTCCAAGATCACAGCACTGAGGAACTGGGGGGCAAAGAACAAGATGTCACAGCAAGGCTCCAGAAGCCCCCTCACCTTACACCCCCAGGTACCAGCAGTACTGCCAAGAGGATGGGCCAGTGGTGGAAGGGCAGACAGGGCAGAGAAGGGGTTCATCACTTCCTGCTTAAATATGCCCCTTCTGGGTTAACTTCCTGGCTGGAAATGCTTGTCCCCAAAGCTGACACCTGTGTCATGGGCAGCATGCTGGATCCCAGACCCCACTCCGGGGAGTCATCAGTGGGACAGCACACTTGATATGGGGGCTGTGTTAGGTAGGTCTATTGTGCCAAGCTGGCCAATAGGAACATGTGGGATTAATAAGGTCACAGTTGATTGGAAAGCAAAGAAAGAAATGGCAAGACCCGCCCCTCCCTCTCTTGCTCTCTGGTGATCAGGCCAGTGTGCGGCCGCTTTAGGGAGTTCTTTGCCTCCACTTGTGAGCTACACTACCTGTGGGACAGCCAACCCATGGATCCTGTTGCTAGAGCTTCAGGTTCCTTCGAGACCTGCTTGGCCACACTGCTGGTGTGCACATCACCTGAGCTTGAGCCTGTTGAATCCTGTCGCCTTGCATTTCCTGAGTTCCCGGTCCCATCAGGGCCTGAGCTGCTGACTGCAGTGACCCGCCCTGTTGTCTGCTGCCTATGGGCAGAATCTGCCTGCCTTGCCCTTGGGAAGACTCAGCTGTCTGCTTCCTTGACCTTGGACCCAGCAGCCCTAAGTTGAAGGACTTTCAGTACATTCACTGTTCCATGGAGGTGAGTTGAACTGAGCCCTCTGTACTGCTGTGTGGACTAATTAGCTATTAATATTCCTCTGTGCTCTATATACCTATCCTCATATATATGTATATATATATATATATAAAATCATAAGTGTTCTGGTTTTGTTTCTCTAGAGAACCCTGTCTAACACAGGGGCCATTGGTATTTGGGGCTGGGTCTCACCGGGAGCCCACGGAGTCTCTGCCTTAGCATCTGACAGGCACTGTTTCCTCTCCAAGGACAGGCTGCTGTCTGAAGTCCTGTGTCTGTAAGCTGGGCCTTGTTGGAAAGGGGATCTTTGAAGGTGCTACTACATCTCACGTCCTTTGGACACCTTGTCAAGAGAGACCAAGTCCCTGGAGAAGGACATCATGCTTAGTAAAGTAGAGGGGCAGTGAAGAAGGGGAAGTTCTTCAGGAGATGGACGGACACAGTGGTGGCATCCATGGGCTCAGGCCCAGGAACCACTGTGAGGCTGGCCCAGGACCAGGCAGCGTTTCGTTCTGTTGTGCACAAAGTCGCTATGGGTCAGAACCGACTCATATAGGAAGAACCATGTGTAGGTTTAGCAGGAGGACTTTCTGGGGGTAGAGTGGGTGCTGATCCGATTGGGGAGGGGCCTTTCCCACACAGAGACACAGAAGGAGGACAACCATGTGACAGTCCAGTGATGTAATCACAAGCCAGGGAAAGCCTGGGGCCCCCAGAGGCTGGAGGAGCTGACGGAGGTCCTTCTCCCAGAAGGAGCACGGTGTCCTGGTCTTGGGGGCCCAGCTTCCTCCGTGCGGATAATGCATCTTTTATTCTTCCTGCCTGGGGGGCTTGGTCCTTGCAGCTCAGGCCACTCAGACACAAGCCCAAGCCTGGTCCTTCCTCGGGCCAGTGTTCCTGGATCCACCCTCCCAGTCCTCTCTGCTGGGAGGTGCAGACCAAGTTGGGTGCCCTAGGTGTGACACAGGTGTGAGTCTCTCCCTCCTCCATGAGCCTCTCCTGCATTGTCTCCCACAGAGCGGGGGAGTGGGGGGTGGGTTTCTCAAAAGCCAGGCCCCGTACCTGGAGCCATGCCAATGGCCACCATGGGCAGGCAGGCCCCCAGTGGCTACTCACTGTCCACACTCCAGCGGATCGCCCAGCCGTGGGGCTGCAGCAGCTTGTGCACCGCCTCCAGGACAGTCTGCAGCTTCTGCTTCTGGCCGGCCTCGGACAGGGTCATCTCGGCCACGTCCAGCTTGTGTTCGGACAGCCTCTCTGCAGTGGCCAGGACAAGAGGGGCAGGCAGGGTATGAGAGCGAGAGTGGGGGATGGGGGCGCTCAGGGCAAAGGTGCGGCCCCCTACCTCCCCAGGGTCCCCCAAGTAGAGGAGGTGATGGGGGGGGTAACTAAGGAGCTCTGAGCCACGGGCCCCCTCATTTTCCTGAGGATTTGACTGGAGCGTAAAAGGGGACGTCCAAGAATAAAACTGTGGGTGCCCCCCTCCACCCTTCAGGAGCATTCTCTGCACAGACAGTGAGACACACAATTCCAGCCCACCTGGGCACCCCAGGGGCACCTAGGGAGGAGGGAAGGAGGCAGGGCACTGTGTTCTTGGCTCCTGGGCAGAGTGGGAAGCCGTCTTTGCTCAGGGCAGACTAACAAGGAGGGGGCTGCAGCCTGGGTCTCTAAAGCTTCCGCCCCGTTTCTCTAACACTCTGACTCGGCCGTCAGGAGGATGATTAGATATTCGCAGTCACTCGGCAGTGGTTTTATTACTGAGCGTGAGCTCAGGAAGCAATCTGGAAAAGCTCAGACGAGATGTCACATCTACTCGAGATTCAATTACCAGGAAGCCAAGCCCAGCCTCGCCCGCACAATGTGCCCCCTGAGCAGAGCGGAGCTGGTAGGCGGTGATGGGAGACACCTGTCCCCAACACATGACCCCACGGCTGCCACAGAGCAATGGGGCTACAGATCCCTGCCTCTTGTCACCCCAAGATGCCCCGGGTACTTCCTGATGTAGCAAACAGATGAGTGGCCCCGGCCTCCCAGAGTGGCTGGCAGCATCCAAGCACTGAGGACAGAGCAGACTCAGGTGGGTGATAGTCAAAGCAGGGGGCTCCTGGTGAATCACAAACGGGACCCCCCTCCCTCCCGTTTTGTAAGTGACCCCTAGCAATGGTCTGTGTAAAGCATTTTTACGGGGGGAGGTTTGTGTGAGGGTGGGGGGGACACTGCTGTCCAGGCAATTCTGGTTCACATGGACCCTACATCAAGGTTTCCAACGCTGTGAATCTGTACAGGAGCAGACAGACATATTTCCCTCCCACGGCAGCTGATGGGTTTGAACCACCAGCCAATGGGTGGTTAGCAGACCAACGTTTCCCCAAATCAGAGGATGCTACAAACTTGACATTCTCTCATGGGACCCTCCATCCCTCGGGGAGTCCAAGAATGGGTGGTTTTGATATTCTCCTCCAGACAGTAGATTATACAGACTGGACTCCCCGGTGGCCTACTGGGTCACACGTTAGATGGACTGTTCCCCTCACGAGGTCAGCCGTTCAAAACCACCAGCTGCCCCAAGGGAGAAAGATGAGACTTTCTATTCCCATCAAGAACCCTGGTAGCATAGTAGTTACCCGCAGGCTGCTAATCACAAGGTCTGCAGTTCGAAACCGCCAGCTTGCTCTGTGGGACGAAGACAAGGTTTTCTACTCCCGTAAAGAATTCCAGTCTCAGAAACTCGCGCGGACAGTTCTACCCTGTCCTGCAGGGTCGCTGTGGGTCGGCAGCAAGTGACTTTGGTGTTTTTGTCTTATGGTTGCCTGCCGCTACGGCCTGTTTCAGGCCAGCACCCCAGTCTCCCAAGCATAGACAGAAGCAGAGGAAGGGGACAGGGGGGTCCTGAGAGCAGAGAAGAGCAGCAGGTAAGGGGGGCTGACCACCCAATGTGGGGGTCTTGATAACTTATCACATAGGAGGACCTGGTTTTTGCAAGGAGGGGTGTGTGTGTGTCTGCGAGTTCAAACAGGACAAGAGACGGTCTAGGAGTACCCTCAAAACCTAGCCTGCATGCCCTCACTGCCCATGTGCAGGTCACCTCGAGCCAGGGAGCGAACCAGGCAGCTGCTTCCAGAATCTCCTCTTAGAAAGAATCCACCCGGGATGCAGGAGAGAGTCGCCCTTGGCCACCTCTGCATGGACACATCTGGACGTCCGTTCTCCATGCCCATCCCTCCCCCTCACCCCCTCCTCCACGAAGCATCTTCGTCTCTGTCCCTGATGAGGGCGCTGTTCCCTGGTTCCCCCTCTCTCAGGACCAGTCCTTCTCAGCAGACCACGCAGAGCCCAGGGCAGGTGACAGAGTCGGCTCCGCCCTCGGCCGGTGTTCAGCCAGAGCCTGCTGTTTGGATCCAGCTCTGCTTTAGGGAAGCCAAACAGCCGCATTCTGCCTGGCATGCCGGGGCTGGCCTGGAGATCCCGTGGCTCACGCCCACGTCTTGTCCATGTAACAGCCTCATTCGTACGAGCGGGCACAGTGTCATCGTGTTCCATTAATGTCCTGAGATGCTCTTCCGTGGTTCTTTTTTGGCAGCCAAACGAAGTGGTTGTGTCACACCACTTGACATATGGGAGGTTCTTAGAATTGCCTAATGGAGTGCTTATTGGAGACAGTCAAACAAGACAGAGGAGAAGCTTCTCCCTGGACACACACACACACACACACACACACACACAAAGGCTGTCAAAAAAGGTCCGTCTCAAGGTGTGTGTCTGCTACAGACGGCAAATCTCACAGGCACAGCCACTTCGGGGCAGGTGTGCATCCGCCAGGTCACTGGAAGAAGGAACCCAGAGCAGGTGACAACCCTGCATCGACCCCCCTCTCTGCTCCTGGGGAGGTGCTGATGTGGTACGCCAAAAGGCAAGGACTCAGGTTGAAGTTCAGAGTTTGGTCTGTAGTCCTGAGAGCCAGTTCCAGAGCTCTGTGCCCACGCCGCTAGATCTAGGGCACAGAGGGTTCAATTGACTCAAGGGGCGGGGTCAAGCCAGGAATGGATGGCAGAGAATCTAAATCGGGCAGGGTAGCAACAGAGCCCACATGGAAGAAGCACACCCACCTGGGTGATCACAGGTGTGGACAGGATCAGGCATCAGGCATCAGAAGACCCCAAACAGAGAAGAGATAAGAGTTCAGAATCCAAGCACAGGAATGGGAGTAGTGATACCATGAGGGTGGGAGAAAGTGGGGGGAGAAGGGGGAGAAAGGAGTAACTGATCACAATAATCAACGTGTTACCCCCACTCCCACCCTGAAGGGGACAAACAACAGAACGTGGGTGAAGGTAGACAGCGGACAGTGTAAGATATGAAAATAACAACAATTTACCATTTATCAGGGGTTCCTAAGGGTGGGAAGGTGGTTGATAGAGGGGAAAAAAGAGGAGCTGATACCACGGGCTCAAACAGAAAATGATTTTGAAAATGATGATGGCAACCTATGTACAAATGTGCTTGATGCAATTGGTGCATGGATTATGCTAAGAGCTGTAAGAGCCCCCAGTGAAATGTTTCATTTAAATTTTTTTTCCCAAAAGAACTGTGGGCACAATACTGTTAGGTTTGCTCCTGGGAAGATCAGAAAGGATGTCTCCTTCAGACAAGGAGTGAAGCCTAAGGTCAAGGGAGATCGATCACAAGTACATCTCCATCCTGCGCAGTTCCTCAAAAAGTCCAGCGAAGATTTCTATATTGCTGTCAGGGGCCATCAAGCTGGTCCTCCTCATAGCCACCCAATGTCCAACAGAAATCGCAGACACGCCCTAGCCTTGCCAAAACCGGGTCCTTGTGTGACACGTGCTCAAGACCTCCACATGGACGGTCCACCCTACTGACCGGCTGTTCTTCCCCATCCCTGCCCCCTTCCTCTGCCTCTCTCCATGCTTGAAAGCCTGGGATCCTGGCCTCTGGAAACAGGCCGCACAGACAGGGGCAGGGAGAGGAGCCAGAGCTGCAGGCCAGCAAAGCAACCACCTATCCGACTCAGTGCCGTCCACCGTTGTCGACTCACAGCCACCCTATGGGACAGGGTAGAGCTGCCCTTGTGGGTTTCTGAGACCACAACTCTCTACGGGAATAGAGAGCCCTGCCTTTCTCCTAGAGAGCAGCTGGTGGCTTTGAACGACTGGCCTTGCACCTGGCAGCCCACTCTGCCCCAGGGCTCCTTGATGCCATGTCATGTGACACCCTTAGACCCATGGAAGGTGCTATAATCCCCTCCTGAAAACCAGCCAATGCTCATGCCTCTGAAGGCCCGAAGAGATAAGGGGGGCTTTTCCCGGCAGTGACTTCTGTTTCCAGACTAGACACAGGGGTTTCAAGAGTCCGTGGGGAAAATGGAGTTGAGAGATAAGGACAATTTCCCACAAGCATTTTGCATAGCCTTGTCAATGGGTGAGTTGGGTAGAAACGCTTCACCTCACCTTTCCTGTGTCCCAACCTAATAGAACTTGGGTCTCAGGCTAGCCTGTCACCTATGTATGGATTTTGGACTTGCCACCAGCCCACTGCCACCTCCCCACTATGTGTTCTATGTGCATATAGATTGTATAACTCACTGCCATGAAGCCAACGCTGACTCATGATGACCCTGCAGGACAGGTAGAACTGCCCCTGTGAGTTTCCGAGACTGTAACTCAGGGGTCCTCAAACTATGGTCCGCGGGCCACATGCCGCCCGCCAAGGACATGTATCCTGCCGGGTGTTTTTGCCCTGTTTGTTTTTCACTTCAAAATGAGATTATGTGTAGTGTGCATAGGAATTTGTTCACAGTTTTTTTTTAACTCTAATCCGGCCCTCCAACAGGTCTGAGGGACAGTGAACTGGTCCCCTGTTTAAAAAGTTTGAGAACCCTGCTGTAACTCTTTGGAAGAATTTAAAGCCCTGTCTTTCTCCTGTGGCGCTGGCTGGTGGTTTCAAACTGCTGCCCTTGTGGTTAGCAGCCCAACATGTGATCACTACACCATCAGAGATCCTTAACATATCTTGGGTATATACACATGTATACACCATCTACACACAGACATATGTATTGGCACTGCCAGGGACTGTGTGTGTGTGTGTGTGTGTGTGTGTGTGTGTGTGTGTGTGTCCAGCTGTGTTTCTTGAGAGCACCTTAAGACAAAGTCGACAACATCTCTTTCATGGGCCCAGCCCCAGGCCCCTCGCTGCGGAGCAGTGCCCGGTGGCATGGAGTGGGAGGCCCGTCCCGCCCCGGCGTCCACTCACCCAGGAGCTTCTGCAGCACCTGGCCGTCGTAGAGGTCATCCTCCAGGTTCCTCACGATGATCCGCTCCTCCTCCAGCACCTTGTTGACCCAGTCGACGAGGACCTGGGGAGCGGCGGGCATCACCAGGGTGACCAGGCAGGACCGGAGCAAGCCCACTCAGGCTCTGACTCACCCACACAACCATCCTGGGCACCCAGAGCCTAAAGCTGCAGGGTGAGGGGGCACCCAGCGGTATCCCGGTGCCACACACCTGCTTCCTGCCACCTCCCAGGAAGGGTGAGGGCTGCCCTGCTGACCCCACCAAGCCTCTCAAGGGACATTTGCTTTCCCCAAACAGACCGACTGGGGTCCAGTTCTGAAGAACATGGTGACTCCCTGTCCTGGCTAATTAGCTGCGGGGATACCATCCTCTGATGCTCCCTTAGGGAAGGACCGCCAACTGCTGTTCCCCATCCCGCCTCCGGTCGTCCAACCTCACCAGTGTCCTTTACCCTCTGCAAGGCCCCGGGCCCTTCCCCTTCCTGGTAAGGCATTTAGGGGCATCTGCATCCCTCCCCGCAAAGACCCCTCTGCTGATTGCCCTGGAGGCAATTTTAGCTCCTAGCAACCCCAAAGGGTGGGGCAGAGCCAGCCCAGGGAGTTCCTGAGACCGTCAGGCTGGAGGTGGGTTTGAACTGCTGCCCTTGAGGATGGCAGCCTCGTGGTTAACCTACTGCACCACCCAGGGCTCCTTTCCTCTGAGAACGGCTCCCTGTTTTGCCCCCGCCTGGCAGGCCCAAGGGGCTCACTGTCCGGATGGAAGAGGGGCTCTTTTGCAGGCTGCCCTTCGCTTTGCTTGTCTCCTGCTCTCCCTCCCACCAGGTCCAGGGTCTGCCTGGACCAGGGACACAGGAGAGCTGTGTGTCTGGCCAGAAAGAGAAACAAACTCACAGCCATCGGTGGCTTCTCGCTCAGAGCAGCCCCACAGGACAGAGCATCTTTACTGGAGTGGACAGCGTCATCTTTCTCCCAAGGGGCCATTGGTGGGTTCGAACTACCGACCCTACAGTTAGGAGCTTAATGCAAAACCAAGCTCACAGCCATTGAGTCTCATTTAGAATCATAAGGACTCTAGAGGGCAGGGTACAACTGCCCCTGTGGATTTCTGAGACTGTAACGCTTTACCGGAGTAGAGAGCCCCATCTTTCTCCTGTGGAACAGCTGGTAGTTTCAAACTGCGGACCTTGGGCTTAGCAGCCCATCACACACACTGCCAGGCCACCAAGTCAGACCTATTTAAGCCTAGGAAAAATCCTATGAAAGCACTCCTCTTCAATTGAAGAAGTGGCAATTTTAGAAATTCCATCTGGTTCATTCGGTGACCTGAATCAAACTCCCACCCCAGGTCAAAGGGATCAAGATCAACCTTGAGCAATGAACCACACACCTGGCCTCCTGGCACAAAACTCATCCCAGCAACCAGTCTGGCTGGTCCCTGCCTGAGATACCACCCCCACCCCCCACCTGCCCCTGCACCTCCTAGGCCCTGCGTCTGAATCCCTGGCCCCACCGAACGCTCGTTAGAGATGGCCCCTGCCATTATTTTTAGGGCCAGACTCATTTCTCAGCCCCGCATCCTGGAGGCAATGGCTGAGGATGCCGATTAATTACGCCCCGGGCACCGTTTGGCCAGCCCGCTTGAACCTGAATCAAGAATCAGTCTTCCTTTAGTTCCCTCCAAGTTATAATCAGGACCCCAGCCATCCTTGCTCCGAGCAACAACAATTACATTTTAATCAGTTCCAAGCACGGTCACGGTGGCTTCATCCACAGAGGACCCTGGTGTATTATCACAGGTGACAGCGAGTCCGAGAGCGGGGCAGCAGGCACAGGCCTGCACTGGGGTCTCCACGAGGTCCTGTCAGCCCTGAGGACAGCCCAGAGGAGAGTCCTCAGACAGCTGATGCCCACAGGAAACGTGGGAGTGACAGCTCAGGACACGTCCTGTTCAGGAAGGCGAGAACCTCAACTGGCAGAGAAATGGGGGCCAAGGGACAATCAGGTGCTGACGAAGTGTGACTGCCTTTTCCTGGCTATGCATTCTGAAAGCGTGGACACAGCCAGGCTCGTCCCTAAAAATACCTTCTAAATATAAAGCGATCTGGGCTGCGAGAGAGGGATGAGTCCCGGAGGGGTAGTGGGTTCCTCGTTGCTTGTTGAACCATAAAGCCAGCAGTTCAAAGCCACTAGCCACTCCAAGGGCAAAGACGAGGCTTTCTACTCCTGTGAAGAGTTAGTCTTGGAAACCCACAGGGGCAGTTCTACCTTGTCCGATAGGGTCGCTGTGAGTGAGTGAGTGAGTGAGTGAGTGAGTGAGTGAGTGAGTGAGTGAGTGAGTGATGGAAGAGATGGTATATATGGACCAGACTGTTAAGCTCTTAAAACAAAACAAACAGAAACAAACCTCCTGGACTGGTGGAACCTGGAGGACCCCCCAAGACAGGTGCCAGGAGAAACTCATCAACACCTGACCCACATTCCTGATGTCACAGCAATGCTCAGGCAGAACTGAAAAGCCCACTGCCATCGAATCAATGCCGATTTGCAGCCAACCCTCCAGGGCAGGGCGGAACTGCCCCTGTGGGTTTCCAGGATTGCAACTCCTTACAGGAGCAGAAAGCCTCCTCTTTCTCCCGCGGGAGTGGCTGGTGGGTTTGAACTGCTGTGGTGGCCACATCATCCTGTGTCAACTTGAAGGTATTAAGAGTGAAGGGGTGGAGTCTAGTCTGTCCATCAGGTCACAGCCTGATGATGCCTCCTTGTGGGCGTGGCCTTCTCATGAGGATTCTGGGAATGTCGTCTCGTTCTCCCTGGAGGCGGGGTTACACACACTCTCTTTCTGCTTCAACTTCCTGTTGACAAGCCATGTGGAGCCACAGTGGACCCTGAGCACATCATCAGCAGAGACCTGCACCAGCCCTGTGATGCTTCCACTGCCATTGGATCCACAAGACTTGTCACCCACCAGCCTGCGATCCTCCTGCATTCTGCATCATTGCATGCGGCTACGTGAGTCTGAAGAGAGACGTATGGACTAGTATTGTACTTATGAGCTAATATCAGGCATACAGACTTGAGTTGGACTGGGCTGGGATGTTTTCTTGATATACAATTACTCTTTGATACAAAGCTCTTTCTCATACATAGTTGAGTGTCCTTGGTCAACCTGGTCTAACACAACTGCTGACCTTGGAGTTAGCAGCCCAACGGATGACCCACGTCACCACCAAGGCTCTGAACTCTTGGAGGCAGCAAGGTCATTGCTATTGGCGTTGGGCGCCATTGAGCAGGCTCTAACTCACAGCGACCCTGTGCACAATGGATAAAACACACACCCCAGTCCTGAGCGAGCCTCACAATTGTTCTTATGTTTGAGCTCATTGTTGCAGCCACTGTGTGTCCACATCCTGTCAAGGGCCTTCCTCAGCCCACTCAAAGAGGCAGAATGGCGGGCTGGGGGGAGGGCCCGAGGACACCTTACAGAAAGAAGCATCACAGCAAAGAAGAAGCGGGTGGAGGGAGCGTTCCCAGCAGGGTGGAGTGTGGGTGCATGGACCAGCTGTGTGGCAAAGACTTTGCCTCACTCAAAGAGGGTCTCCTATGGAACACAGGATGTTGCTCTCATGCAGAGGGGATTTGGCAGGGCTTTAAAATTGGTTTTAAAGAGAGGGCTGACCCTGAGGAGGTGAGAGAGAGCTGGGAAGGTCCCTCTGACTTCAGCCATCTTTGTTTACGTGGGGACCTTGGGGCCGCCCAAGAGTCTAATGATGTGACTGAGGATGGGCACTTTTTTGCTTTAGGTTGAGATTCCCAACCACGTCTTCGCGGTCGGTGGTGGGGTGCTGGTGCCATTGAGCTGGCTCTCCCCTGCAGCATGCTCGACCCCTCATAACGATAGAACCCTACAGGAGCCTCAGTTCTGCTCAGACAGGCACACAGGGTTTGGCCATGAGTTGGGGGTTCACTCCTTGGCCACACGATCGGGTCTGGTGTGATCCGGGGTTTAAGTTTAGGGCCTAGGAACCATGATCTGATATGTGAACGCTGACCCAATTCACAATTAAAAAAAAAAAAAGTTGAAAGAATCAATGTGTTTTTGTTTTTTGGGGTTTTGGGGTGTTTTTTTCCGGTGGGAGGAGGTGGCCTACAAAAGCTGATGTTTTTTATTTCAGCATTCAGCCAGAGACAGCTGGCAGGCGGCTTGTTTCACCCCTTTGAAAAGACAGCTGGACCCCCAGCCTCGGGCTCCCAAGTGGCCTCAGGGAGGAATTTCCAGAGACACACGTTCATAGAACGTCACCCGGTCGGTGACTCATAACGTAATAAACAGCATATCCACGGTGCCTGTCCCTCCCCTGTCACCTGAGTGGGGGTGGGGGTGGGGTTCTTCCCAGTGGTGGCTTTTCTGAGGCTGTCTGATCAGAGCTGGCTCTGGTGCTAAAGGGGTGAGCTGGACGCTTAGAGGAGGGAGCAGCCAGAGCCAAGATCCAGCCCTCTCCCGGAGATTAGCTTCCAAAGCTCTATTGTGGTTAAGATCAGAGCTATCAGGCTGCACACATGCTGGGAGAAAGAGAGAGCGCTCTCTGGACACGTGGCGGCCACCGTCGGCCCGGCCTCTGTCTTCTCTTCCATCTGTCTGTGTCTCTGTCTCGTTTCGTATCGCAGGAGGACAACAGTCCTTCAGGATTAGGAACCCCCCCACCCCCTTCCCACCACGCATCTGCCAAGGCTGGTGAGCCTTCATCCCACGTCCTTTGGACCAGTGTCAGCGGAGACCAGACCTTGGAGAAGGACATCAGATTGGCAAAGCAGAGGAGCGGTGAGAAAGAGGAAGGCCCCAAGCAGATGGACGTACACGCTGGCTGACCATGGGCTGGAGTCTGGGAACCATTGTCAGGGTGGCGCCGGGCCGGGCAGCGGTGCCTTCTGTCGTGCATGGGGTCAACTATGGTGGGAGCCCACTCAGGGGCACCTGACAGCAACAGCATCCCCTCCAGCCTGACCTCCCTCCAGGATGACCTCATGTTCACCGAGTGTCCCTTCGAAGGTCACGTTCCCAGGTACCAGGGATTGGGACTTGAGCAGAACAAGACCCGTTCACAAGCCCACTTCTGTCCTGGACCCCACACCGCCCAGGCTGCAGCCCCTAAGACCCATTTCCCTACCTTGACCAGTTCCTTGAACTTGGGGCTTTCCTTGGAGGCGGGGTTGATCATGGTCCGCTCCTCATTCTCCTCTGCCGTGGG